TGAACATTTCAAATGGTCCTATCTGCTTTGATCGATTCTCTTCATCGACTTTCTCTTTTCATAACCACTGCTATGCAAACAGATTTCGCACTAATAGATTGATAAAGGAGGTATTTATCTATCGTCCATATCGTCAAATACAACAGGGAATGTTGTTGCAGCTGAGCTATTAACGAAAGGGAAAGTCGATGAAGAGAATCGATCAAGGCAGATAGGACCTTTTGAAATGTATATCTAGAAATTTATGATCCAACCAAACAAACTCACAACCAATCTTGTAAGCGGTCACGGTAGTCGACACATTTTCTAAGATAATCGACTGCCTTTGCCTCCGACACTTACAAAATAAGCTATCATAGTACAGTACCAAACTCAAATATCATCTAACATGCCCTGTCATACGACACTGTCGACGAAGACCGTCACGAATGTATGTATTTTAGTTTTTCTCATAATAAGAGCTGCTGATGTTGTGCTTGTTTGAATTCTGAAAATAGCAAGCAATGATGTCCTAGGAATAACATTTCTGATCATAAATGGTTTCATTTACACCAAATTGGGGAATTAGAACCAAATCACTCATGTCATATGATAGTTATTTGATAATTTTCTTTTTGCTCGAATGTGCTGTGTGAGAGATACGACGGTAGAGCATGAGTGTGCGATTACAAACAGACTATCGCGCACGACAAAGAAGCGAGTGTCGTAAAAAACGTCAACTGTTTCAACCCCTGCCTACAACAATGAAACGGCAATTCCTGAAGCTTCAATGTCACAGCACTGTCCCGAGATTTCTGCTTTAGAAAATTTGTAGTGATAATGCATTGCAGCCATCATGACACCAATTATTGGACTCTACAAGGATTATGTTTTGGAAAATGGCCTTAATTCGCCAGAAATAACCTTCAGATGGTTCAAAATTAAAAACGTAAAAAAAAAATCCTTAGCAACCAAATAGTTCTAGAATCATCAAAATGGCTTTAAAAACGTCATAAATTCACTAACAGGCTTGAATTTTGGCCTAGAAATGACACAATAGCTTTGAAAAACAACGAGATTACCGCGAGGATTACCGAGTTGGGAGAAAATGCTATACTAATATCAATATGAAGCTTTAGTGCATTAATTTATTAGCTAGAGAAAGTTCTGAAGAGGATAGATTGATAATTTCGTAGCACGGCACACAGTGGGACGAAATCAAAAATAGTGAGACATGGCTATTTCACACGAAACTATTGAGTGTAGCATTTTGATGTCTTTTAGAGTGTTTCTTCATTTTTTGAGTACTTTAATAAACATTTTTTATTAAGGGGGGTATACACTAAGACAAAAAAAAACTTTTTTTTATGTCTTGTTGAAATTGATGAACATCTATAGAAACATTGTAGATGAAGTCATTTTAAGAAACTTTGTCGAAGACGTCCATTTTCTATCAAGTGGACGAAGTTATAGGGTGAAAATGGAGTACTAACGATAGTACCCCCTTAAAAACCTTTTTTACCAGAACTTTGTAGTTCGAATTTTTCAATTTTTTCAATGTTGTACAAAGTTGTAAGCGCTCTAAAAATGCACATTTTTGCTCAATGAAGCAAATCGCTATCTCTTCATGTAAAATATTTACACGTAATTTCGTTCAGCAGCTTATACCCTACTGTTACATATATAATTCATAGGGGAATCCAAGGGGATGCCTAATGAATTTTCTAATATAGTACCTCAATGTTTTGTTACGTTTTGCTGTTTTCATGACCATTTTTCCAAGTATGTACATTAGAGTGGGTTGTAGCTTCGACAAAGTTGTTTGGTATAGTGTTCTCAATCTTAGTCCGAGTTTTGGTGAAATTTGAGCAATTGGATTTTTGGTAAGCAAATGACCATACAAAATTTAAAATTCTCCCGCATATCGAGATTATAACCTAGTTCGTTCAAATTTTGCCCAGACCAGAATAAGCATTGAAAGAGCAGTGGGAAACCCACTGTAATGAAAATCCTTGGAATCCTTGGAAAAATGGTCATGAAAACAGCAAAACGTAACAATGTTGAGGTACTTTTTAGAAAATTCATTAGGCATCCCCTTGGATCCCCCTTTGAATTGTATATGTAACAGTAGACTAGAAGTTTTTTTTTTATTTAATTAAATCTTCAACATAATGTTGTACAGATATTTTCTAGGCTAGGTGTCGAATTCTATGTCTGTAAGTAGACTTACAAATGTTAAAATCATATACATCAAACGTTTCATTAAACACACGACAGCACAAAGTTCACGGTTCGTTGAATCCATAGTTGGTCCGATGGGTAGGTTGCCACAGAAGCGTGTAACTACGTAGAACTCTTTGAGGAGCATTGATGTAGATTTGGCTCACAAGAGAGTTGCAATCCACGTCACCGTTAAGCAATCCAAACACGAAGAGTCGCTGAAGTAGTTTCCTCCTTGCTGCCAACGTGTCCAGGTCAATCAGCCTGCACCGTTCTTCGTAAGGCGGCAAATTTACCGAATCGTTCCAGGGCAGAACACGTAAAGCGTATCTTACGAAGTTCCGCTGAATGGCTTCGATTCTGTTAGCTTGAATAGCGTGCAAGGGTGCCCACCCGAGCAAAGTCGGTTAACAAAATGAAAGCAAATCGATATTAAAGTGTGCAGTTCCTATCATAATGAAAACTCATTTTGTTTTCAAATGTTGCGACATAAGTCTGATATCATATTGTGCTTTCATTATGCAGTCAAGACGTTTTAAATGAAAGCAACTTAACTTGAAGTTCTGCTGTTTACGTCTTGTTTAAAATTTAATTGAAATTCATCTGTCGTTGAGCTAATGATTATCGTTTATCTGATTTGTTTAACACATTTTAGGTCATTCGTGACTTGCCCGCGGTGAGATTGGAGCCTAAGTCTTTCAGCTTGAGAAACATGAATGGTAACCATTTACTCTAGGCCCGTATTCAGTTAAACATTATGAATGCAAAATCAGTAATCAAATTGATTTCATTGAAAGCAGGATTAGTTTTCCGTTTGCTTCAACAGTGTAAAATTTTGCTCTCATTTTTGCTGTGTTAACCGTTAAGTCAACCAAAATGAGATCAACTGGAGTATTCAAAATAAGTTACATCATAACAGCAAATTTTGATTTCAATTTGATGTTCAGCTTTGCTCGGGCACACAACAACAGCATACTCTAGAAGACTGCGGACGAGAGCACAGTATAGTGATTTCAGCGCGTAGATGTCCTGGAATGCGTTTGTGTTTCGTTTCAAGAAACCTAATGTGGCGAATGCTTTAGCAGTTACCATGGAGATGTGCTCATTGAATCTGACTTTAGAGTCGATGATAACACCCAAATCCTTAACTGAAGAAACGAAGAGCAAACTACTGAGTCCTATCCTATAGTCATGTCGTATAGGGCTCGCGTGAACGACTAAAAGATATTGCGCAGCATTTTGTGACATTAACCTGCATACCGTTCAATGTACACCAGCGCAAAAGGGAATCAATATCCTTCTGGAGAGCGCAACAATCAAGTCTTGACTTAATTGTACGACAGATCTTTAAGTCATCGGCGAACATAAGTTTCGAAGAACACAGTCGACTACACAGATCGTTCACGAATAGGATGAAAATTAAAGGCCCCAAATGGCTACCTTGGGGAACACCAGAGGGTATCTCGAAACTAGGCGAATTAACACCGTTAATGCTCACATAGGCTGAGCGGTCAGTTAAGTAAGACTGTAGCCACTTCGTGGCCCAATTAAGTAATCCACCTCATTTTGTCCACTGCAAGCACATGTGGAACCCTATCGAACGCCTTACTGAAGTCCACGTAGATCGCATCAACTTGTCGTCGTTTTTCAATGGAGTTGATCAGCGAGTTGACAAACACCATTAAGTTGGTTGTTGTAGAGCGTTTCCTCACGAAGCCGTGCTGATGTTCGGTAATTATTGGCCTTACCGCTTGATAAATGACCTCATATACGATCTTCTACATAGCTTTTGGGAGGCAGCTTAGATTAGCTGTTAATACCTGCTAACATACAAGATACACCCCCTTATATATAGCGTTAAAAATATAAAAGGGACTTAAGTCCTTAAAACAAAAAGATAGCGATCTGTTATTTGCACTTATAACTTTGTACAACATTGAAAAAAACTGTAAAATTCAAACTAAAAACTTATGATAAACAACGGTTTTTAAGGGGGTACTACCATTTGTACTCCATTTTCACCCTATAAATTCTTCCACTTAAGATTTTCCACATGGAAAATTGAGGACTTCGACAAAGTTCCTTAAAATGATTTCATCTACAATATTTTCATACATGATCATCAATTTCAATAAAACAAAAAAAAGGTTATTTTTTTATCTTAGTGTATACCCTTCTTAAGAAAAAGATTTCACCACTGCAATAAAGTATTTAAAAATTGAAGAAACGTTCTAGAAGACATCAAAATGCTACACTCAATAGTTTCGTCTCAAACGGCCATGTCCCTCTTTTTTTGATTTCGTCCAACTGTGCTACGGTGCGAAAATATTGCATTTTGATATGGAGATTAATAGTATTAAACTATCTATTTTACGATAAGTTAACTGAAAATTCAACTAAATTTTACGTTAGCATTCTGTAGTAAAATGTAATGAAAAAGTCCCAAAAGAGCGATTCATCTGGTCTACTCAAGGTAATTATGGTAGCTATATGCACTCAAATTTTGGGCCACTTTCGTGATTGAATGGAAATCTTCGTTCTACCCCCAGTTTCTCCAATGATCAACCGGTAGACGAAGTTTGACTGAGGTTCGACCTGGAGCCGCCTATGTGCCCCTACTACCATCATCATATGCCTGATTCAGCGTTCTCCATCTTCAGCACACACAGCACAACAATGCCCTGTGTCTCGCTCTGCTGTTCTTTTGACTTATGGCCCCTCTTGTGCAGCACTAGGCCGACAGGCTAAGATATAGGAGGAAAATTAGCGTTTTATTTTACCATCGCTCGCTTTTTGCTTACATTTTTTTTTCTCCACTATTGCTCCTCCAAATCCTCTCGGGGCTCGTCTCCTGGGTCGATTCCAGTCCAGTGATGATGATGATAATAATAATAACAACAACAACAGCTATAATGTGTGTGACGATTTGTTATTACAGTTTCCACTGTCTCTCAGTGTGTTTGGGTCGGTTTCTTCTTCACCTCACGCATACTGTTGTCGCGCATCATCATGCAATGACTCTTCACGGGAAATAAATACACACGAACGCACACGTGTTTCTATGTGCTGTTGTGTGTATGTTTGTGTGCGCAGATAGATAGATACGTCGAAACAACACACAAAAAAAAAAGCGAGAGCTCATTCAAGCCATTAGTCACGTATCGTGCAAATCGATTGCCGTAAATCTCACCACTTTTCTTCGATTTTCTATTCTTCTTGAGCTTCCTCTTGCCTCCTTCCAAACACCTTATACTTTGATTATATTTATATATTTTGTATTTATATTAACCACTTAAAAGCACACTATCGGCGCACGGGACTTGTCGTCCTCTAGATATGCGTAAAACTTAATGCTACACCTAATTGCCACCAATCACTTTTACGGGAAAAAGATCGAGCACTAATTTACCTTTATTGCATTCCGGCAAGGTTGATTTTTTTTCTCTCTTAATACGGATATTATCTAATCTACATACGAGAGATTTTCACCTTAATCATTAGCTGAAAGCGAAAAAAAAAACTTTCTACTTTTTACCGCACACCTTTTCTCTCTCTTGTGTTGTCCGAACTGATTTTATTTTTTGCTTATAGCTCTTATCTCCTTCACCAACACTTCTTCTTCCAACACCAACACACTGGGTGTGTGTTTTTATTTTCTCTCCCTATTCTCACTCTTATTCCTCCCGGTGTTTATTTGATGATTGATTCACGGTCACAAATGACGAACACGACGACGGCGAGAACGCGGCCGGTTTTTTGGGGTCCTGTCATGCTGCTGCCACCGAACGAATTGGGTTCTTCGCGCTCGAAAGGACTCAACGAGCAAAGAGGGTTGACGCGCGCGCGCGCGCGCACTTCTCTTAAACTGTTTCGTGACTTCTTGCTTTTAATGGGTGTATATTTTTTTCTTCTTCTTCCTTCTGTTGTTGCGCTTGTTTCTGTCGTTTATATCTGTAGGTAGGTAGCGTTGACTTGTTCTTCTTCTTGTTTTTCTTATGACGATTCTTCGCGGCCAAGTGCGAGAGTTCTGCTCTTCTGCGCGCACACCAGTCAGTTGTTTGGTGCACTAGTGCTGCTGCTGCGACTTGGACTGAGCTGTCGACGCCGAATGCCTGGTATCGGAAAAAAATGAATCGAAAACAGAAGAGGAAAAAAAGGGGTCAGACTCAGTGTTGGAAGATTAATGTTCGTTTTTGCTTACATCCTAAGGAAGGAAATAAGCATACGAATGAAATGATTTTTGTTCTTTGTTAGAAGTCACGTCCTCTTGTAATAAGAGGGGATCGGTCAATTTGTTGGTATTTGCAAGATAACACCAGGATACTCTGTACCGGCTGTTCCCATTTAATGAGTAGTATCATTTGAAAAATATATTAGAAGCATAAGGTTTACTATTAGTTTAGTATACACAGTGCTGGTAGTGGGTATTGTGATATAGTAGTAGTGACTTTAGTGACAAAAATAACGAAAATAGTGACCAAATAGTGAATTTAAGATAGTAAAAAAGTGACCAATAGTGACATTTATTGATCGGATGAATATGGTTCCACTCTTTTGTTGATTGCGATTGACACTCCAATTTTTATAAACTCACAGATGAAAACAAAACAAATGGTTTTTTTTTTTTTAATTATAGTCACTTTAACGCTCTTGGGTCATTCGTGACTTGTCCGGGGGTGAGATTTGAACTCGTGACTTTGGCGTGAGAGGTATGGATGCTAACCACTACGCCGGGGTCGCCCCCATAAAACAAATGGTTTAAGGTGAAAAAAAACCTCATTAATTTTCAAAAATTCAAAAGCAGAATTAGGTTCATGAAAATGTGTTAATAACATTCTACTTGCCGCCTACCGGAACACAGTGAACAAATTTTCATTGACAGAACTTCGGTTTTAAACGAAAAACTACTTTTGAATTTCCAAACATTGACACCTTAAGGATCCCCTAAATTTGAATCCCAAAAATAAGCATGAATTAAAAAAAAAAAAACAATTCCACCCTCTATTTCCTCACGTTTGCACTCATCTCTACACTAATAAAAAAAATCACATAGCCAGTGGAAAATATCCATGTGAATTTCACATAACTTTCATGTTATCCCATAATTGGAAATTGCACCACTAAATCACATGAACGTTATGTGTCCAATGATATTCAGACAAAAATCATTATTTTTGTTATTGGAAAAATATCATGTGCGTTCCTAATAGAAACAAAGTGAAAACTTTTTCCAGTGTAAACCATTTACTATGTTCATATTATAAGCAGCAGTGCTGATAAAAATCATTTCTACTACACTCAGTTTAGCTGATATTGAAAAACATCTTAGCAGATGGGCTAACTACCTGTATGAATTTGGATTTTGACATAACAGCAGCGCTGGTAGCGATTAATGCTGTCAAATATAGTGATTTTACTGACCATGTTGAAGAAATAAGTGACCAAATAGGGACTTATAGTTGTAAAAAAGGGACTAAAAAGTGACCTAAGGGAAGAAAATTACTCGTTCTGATGGCATACCAAATAAATGTTTGATGATTTAGACAAATCTCGTGAACACTTATATATGTACGATAGGAACCTTAAAAAGGAAAGATTCAATAGAAAGTTTTTGATTCAACTTCCAAGTGTCTACTGCCTGGAATATCCTGAAAATCGGGAATTCTCAGGGAATTATATTTCTCCTGAAAATACCTGGAAGTCTCAGGGAATCTTTTCATTACGCAGGAAATTTAATTTCCAAAGAAAAGAATGTATTTAAAAAAAAAACATTCAATATTCCTAGTTATTTTCATTCACACATTTGAAATCGGAGCATAAGTCCTCGTAATTTTTTGGTGAACACTAAGGGGGTAAGGAGATGCTAAAAGGAGAATTACAATTAAATCTGAGAATAACTCCAGGAGATCTTCAAAAAAATTCGAAAAATAATTCCAGGAGAGATTTCCAAACAAATTAAGGAGAGAAATCTAAGGAATTTGTAAGGAGAAATGAAATTTAATTCTTAGGCAGCTTTCAAGTATCAAGTATCAAGTAGGAGTAGAATTCCAAGGTAAGGAGTGAGATTAAAAAAGAAATCTGAAAAGAATTCAATACAAATTCTGAGAAGCTTTTCATAGGATTTCTTACTGAGGTGAATTTGAAGGCAGTTCCTAGATAAATTAAAAGCAAATATGATTCGATGGATAGTTTCGAGAAGTATTCTAACTATATTCCTATGATATTTTTTAGATAATTCAGACAAACGTTCCAAGTGAATTTCTGAAATAATTCGATGAGAGTTTCGGGAGAATACGAGCGAATGATGATGCGAACTCCAAGCGAATTTTAATGCGAAATCTCCGTTGAATGTGTAATGGAGGCCTTCAGAACAACTTGAAAGTTCTCAAAATATTCCTGAAGTTAATGAATTTGCCTTGAAGTTCTTTTGTAGTTTGAGAAACTAGCCTGATGCTCACAATACTTCTCATCATTGTTTTTAACATCTCTAAACTTGTTCGGACTTCCTAAAGTTTCCACAATTTTCCTAATGATCATGAATCTTCTCGAAAGTTTTATAAATTCACAGAAATTCTCTACATTTCTTTAAAATTATGTAATTTCGCTACTTTGGAATATCTCTGCTCTGAGGATGTCTGTTCTTTCTTGAAGTTATTTTTTAGCATTTTAGCGAGATCAATGCCTTTTATAAAGTTCTCTAAACTTCTCTAAAGTGTTTACAGCTCTCATGAAGCTTGTGCACTACCCTGAATTTAATTGAACTTAATTCTAAAAATATTTAAGCTTCCGTGAACTTCTGGTCTTATGTGAAAACCTCAATAATTTTCTTAACATCTCTAAAGCTCTATGATTTTCATTGAAGTTCTCAAGATTTGTCAATTTTCGAAACTAATTCATAGCTTCTTCAATAGTCTAAAGTTTCCTGATGCTTTGAAAACTACCCATAATATTCCTCAATTTTCTTAAAATTCTCTAGACTGCCCTGAATATCGTAGTATTTTGTTGAAAGAACCCACAATTTACTGGAATTGATTGAAATGCCTTTGAGTTCTACAATTTTCCTTAAGTTTTATAAAGTATATAAACGCTCACGGAGCTTTGCCTTAAATCACTAATTTTCCCTGAAATGTCTAGCCCTGAAGTTTTCAATGTTTACCTTAATTTCTCTAAATTTATCAAATGTTTGCATATTTATAATTCCCTGAATCTTCTCCAGTTTTCAGATCAATCATAGAATTCTCGGAACATCCCAGAATACCAAGGAACTCCTCTCGAACACCTTTAAACTTCCATGGAATTCTCTGGATTTCTGTGAAATTTCTGAAATATTTCTGAAGTTTTCATAAATTTTCTGAAGGTATCTGTACTGAATCTATCGGAACATCTTAAGGTTTCTCGATTTTATTTCAGCACATCATGGAATTATTCTGAATTTGTCTAAACTCACGGTTATAGATTTTGTAGCCAATCCAATAGTTTGGGCTAAAATTTCGGGGACTTACGCTTAAGATCTCTGGAATTCCCCATGATCTCTAGATCTAGTTTTTCTGAGAAAAATAAAACTTTTTAAAAGTTTACACAATTTTCCTAGTACGAAACTTCAAGACATTAAAAATGTTGTGATCTAAGACTTACTAAAATGAAGTAAAGCTGTTTCTTTAAAACTGATTGTCATGTCTTAAAAACGTTTGCGTTAATTGTTGTTGTTTTACAAAAAAAATCATATTTTTAACGCAATTCATAAATAGCATTTTTATTAGATATCTGGAAATTATCCGCCAAAGTTATGAAAAATCTAGGAAAACTGAGGGAACTATATTCAGCCAAATGAGTGGACACCCTGTAGACAGAGAAAGACGATTAAACGTAAAAAAAACTCTATACAAGGTCGTCAACTTCAAACTTTTCAAAAATTAGAACAAAATGTAGGCCTTTCCTACACACTGCAAGCAGAATGATCAATCTTGAACTAAATGCACGTTAAAAAAAAGTTTAAAATAGAGACTGTTTACAAGAAAAAGTGACTTTAGTGACTTGGCCTTATAAAAGGAGACTTTTTAGTGACTGGCTTGAAAAAGGTGACCAAGTCACTAAAAAGTGACTCGCTACCAGCCCTGGTTATGGGTAACAATTTTTATTCCAACTTGCTGTATTTAAAGTTCCAGAGAAGCTTTACAGAGCTTAACAGGATTAAATTTAAGTTCAAGTAGGAGAAATGGCTCTAATGTTGGCCTATGGATCTAAGATTAGGCGCATCGCTAAAAATCTGCTATTTATTAATTGTATATAGATGAACGCGTCATTGGGACGGTACTAATGAATATTTTTGATCACTATTTAAAATTTAACGGCGCCGGTGGTGTAGTGGTAAGCGTGATTACTTCTCACCCCAGCAGGCCTGGGTTCAATCCCAGTCGGCGCTGCCGGGATGTTCTGAGGCATAACATCTCTGATCACGCCTTCCTTCGGATGGGAAGTAAAGCCGTTGGTCCCCGGTTCATGAGTTGATGGGTCGATAGGTAGGGTCCAGGTGTGGGAGCTGCCTTCCTGGCACGTCGGTAGCATTGGTGCTCAGCACGGAAAACAAGATCGACGGAAAAAACAAACCAAAGGAAAAAAAAAAAAAAACTATTTAAAATTTAGTCGATTGCTGAATTTATGTATTGGCCCAAATTAGGGGCATTCAGGCCGACATTACATCCATTTCCCTTATTTCTTTCAAAATAATTTCTTTTCATAGAGTTCTTCAAAAATAAATTCGAGTTTATCTCTGGAAGTGCCTTGAATTTTATTAATAACAGTGCAGAAATTATCTGCAGAACACTAAA